TTGCTTTACTTTGCCATTCTGATTGGGACCAAATTCTATTTCATCTTCCTCTATCTATGTAAAAATAGAGCTTTAGACTTTAATGAAACACCTCTGTTTAGATGTACACCAAAAGATGTATAATTTCATTCATTTCCCACAGCTTCCCTCCATCAGCAGAGCATAGCAGGAGCTCCAGGCTCTACCGCTGTAAATCCAGTGGCTCACCTGAAAGCAAGCGTGTGGCGTTGCTCTCGGCTTGCTCATTTGTGAGGGTAGAAGTTAGCATTTCATGTTTTCAGGGCATGCTGTAAATACCGCTTTTAGGCCTAGCATTTGATGCCCTGATTGCTTGAAATTGTCTTCTTCCTTGAATACTTTCTGTGTTATCAATAGGAGCCTGCTTGGCAGACAGCTCCACAAATGGAGGACTGTCTGTAATTTGCCTTGAGTTTGTTGCTGAAATTCCTTCTCAGAAGCTTATGTCAAATGACAGCCTTTTTCTCAGGATAGGGTCATATAGTGTTTCCTCAGTGTAGTTATTCTTTATTTTTGGTTCCTGTTCTTTCTCTCATAATGGAAAATCTGTAACAGGTGGCCACAGGCACAGACTTTCATGCTTGGGAGCATAAAGAACCATATGCTGTATGATGGCATGTATGGAGATAGTAAGTTGTAGAAATAGGCGACCAGCTTAAATGAAAAATAAGAGTGGGCCTGAATTTTTGATTCAAACTTGGCTAAACTAAAACTTTCTCTGTTCTCAACTGTGCTTGGTTGTTTCTCTGTTTTGCTGCCTACTAGCTGGTTTCAGCTGGAAGTGAATTTTTTTTCAGTTTGCGAAGAGGAATGTTCTGACATTTTTACCAGACGCCCTGGGTGAGATCCGGGACCCTTGAAGTCAGTTGGACTTTTGCCATTGGCTTTAATGTGGCCAGAATTTCACTACATGAGAACCGTTTTGCTTGGTTCTGGATAGAGTATGTCAGAAAATAACAGGAATCTTCAAAACAGCAGTTTTGTGAGAGATTTTGGACCACATGCTTTCTTGGTCTAAAAGTGGTCAGTTTTCCTCCAGAAGACAGGATGATGCTTACCCAGCATAAACTTTCTCTTTAATATTCCCATATTAGCAGTGTTTTGCTATTGACCTTCAGCTTCCTTTTGTTCGATAACTTAAGTTTAAATTATCTTTGGAAAAGCCTGTTTGTGAATATATGAAATAACAAAAATAATGTTGGTTTAAGCTGAATTCAGCCCACTCTGTACAGCAGTATTTACGCAGAGGTTGTACCACTCATCCTTCAGCCACAAACTGGGGTCTATTATCTAAGCTGGCATCAGGTGCTATAGACACAGAATTTCCCTATTTCCCAGTATGCTAAGCTGACTTTTAATTCTGTATTCTGGGTCTTGGCCAAGATGAGATTTTGTGTGTTTGTTTTGTTTTGTTTTTCAGAGGCTGCTTAATGTCAGTCTCTAGTTTGTAAGGAAGACAGGGGTGGATTTCATGAATATATTAGAGTATTGGTGATCCGAATGTAGCCAAGAAATAACATTGTGTTTGGTCAGAAAATACTCTTTGTAAAAGTCTTACAGATACTGTTGGCTACTTAAATATATACTAGAACTGTCTGCGTGAAAAAATTACAAGTGAAACTGAGCTAGCCCAGATTAGTTATCAGAAACCTAACTTGTTTTTTTTTTGTTTTATCCCCTCCCACTCTGTGATGGTAGGACAAATTCATTTAGCAGTTGATCTTGCATACTTTTCCACTCACACATGTACAGTCAGAAATGCTATGAGAAGTTTACTGTTAAGGTCGGAACAAGTAATACGGAATTTGTGTGCAGACATAGTATTTTAGGGGAGTTAGGAGGAGAAAAAACATTGTTAAAAGATGTATACAATGGAAAGGGTGTATATATGTTGCATACAAGGAAAACTTGTTGAATCGCTTTATCTCACTGTAGTCTCTTATTTAAAGAGTTCTGTAATCACAAGCTGATAAGTTCTTCCTGAAATACAAATTAATTAGATCTGTGTCCGATCACAGGCTTGATGCTGTTTTGAAAAATGTTTTAATTTAGAACTCTCATCCTTTGCAAAAAGCTCACCACAAAACACAACTTTTCGCTGTGAATAACTTCAGTCTATACACAGGGCCTTGTGCTTGTCCATCAGTACTACCATCTTTTTTTACATTAAAAAAAAAAAAAAGAAAAGGTCAGATTTGGTGTTTTCAAAAGCAGCAAGTGCTCAGAATATCTTGTAATGACTGCCCATGGACTGGAGGGGAGGGAAGAGAGTTGAAATGGAAAATGAATTAGATTCTTAGGCTGTGGAAGGGGGAACATTCCTGCACAGAGAAGCGACTCTGGAGATAAGTTTTAATTTCCTGAGCTCCAGTCTCTATATAGGAACATTGAAAGACTTCCTTCCTGATAACCAAGTCAAGCCAGGGGCAGTATTAAACGATGTGTTTCTGTATATAATTGCATGCTTCTATATGTATTTGCATACTTGCAGTAGAAATAGAAATAGTGTACCTATAATGACAGAAGTCAGCTTTTAAAGTGTGTTGCATGTATTCAAGGTCTGGTATGTACACTGTGCATGAGATGTTGTAATAGATCAATATCTGTTTAGACTTTTATAAAAGATTTCCTTTGTACTTTGTCTCTACTTAAAAAACAAAACTCAGTCAAAAACCAAAATGAAAAAAACACTCTCCCCAACTGTTTGTCTTGCATTTTAAAGAGGATCTGGGTTATGCTGCACCTTTAAGAATGATCAAGTCGCCGAGGTAGATGTGTTACAGATTTCTAATGCATACGTCTCCTGTATATGCGATATTGTTATAACCATTTCTGTCTTACTAAGGTCTCATCGTTCCGTGATTACTTAGGCAAAACGATGAAGCTCACTATGAGTGATATCTTAGTAAGCATTTCGGGAACAAATATTAGGAGACTTTTTGATTGGTTTTTCATTTGTTTACAGAAGGCACAAAGCATTTACCAAAAAAGTGTAGGTCACCCTGAATTTTACATTTGCAAAAATATGTTTCAGAGCCTCAGACTATGTTTTATTTTAGGAATTTTAGTTTCTAGTAAAACTGTTTTAATTTGCTGTTTCCAGCTGCTTCTTTTTTTTTTTTTTTTTTAAAGTGAATCCCATAGTTTTTCTTTATATATTCTAGGATCTTGGGATAAAAGTGTAAGTCTAAATAAGTAATACTGTGCTAAGCAGAGCCACAGTATAACATGCTTTGTGAAGCACAGATTTACTCAGACCATTGCCTGGCTATCCCAAACTGTAAAATAAAATTACTTACATCCCTCATTGCAGTTTGTGCAACAGCATCGGAATTAAAGGTATAACTGAGCTGTTTTAAGTTTATCAGTTAACCTACTGTAATGTCAGATACATCGCTTAGTTGCTATGAGCTTTTAGTACTATAGGTTTTAATTCCACTTGTCAATAGCTCTTTCTTACCGTTATTTTTTTTTAATAACCATTCATAATTAAGACTTAGCCCCAGAGTATTTATTTTGTATTACAATGAGAGAATTTGTGTCAGCTTAGACGATTTTAGAAAGCGCTGAATGTAAATATATTGGTGGTATATGAGATTGGAAAATGACTTTCAATTATTTCTAAATCGGACAAGTGTATTGTATAAATGGAACTTTATAGACTGTGTAGTTGTTTAACTTTTTCTATAAAGCAACTTTGGAAAAAGGGAAAAAAAAACCATAAAGAGATTCTGATGGTGCTAAAGTGTTGCCAAGCAAACCATAAAAGATAAGTCAAACTTTAATACTATAGAAAAGCTATGAAATACTGCTACATATGTGCTTTGCGTTTCTGAAGCTGTTTGTGTGTAAAGTCAGCTGTGGAAATGGCTAGCTAGCTGAAAACTATGGTTCCTGCAGCTTGACTGTTGTGGGGAGATTTTTTTCTGTGAAAACAGTTGTAAAGTGGAACATCTGAAAAATATGTTCCATGTGAAATGGATCTTCACACACATTTATTTTGACATTTAGGTTTGATTTGAGAGAGAGAAGATTCTGAAATAGCCATTCACAGATGGCTTGTGCGGGTTTTATTTTTTATATGCTTCTCTGTGTTTTTGGTTTGGGGTAGGTTTTTTTGCATGTGTTTGCAGACTTGTCAATCCCCCTCTTCCCCCAGATCACATGCTTAATTTTTTATTACATGAATTTTTGTCCTTTTTTCCAGAAGCTGCTGTTTAAAAAATAAAAAGGAAAAAGGAAAAAAAAAACCTCACCCCAACCCCAGAACAACAACAAAACACCCCAAACCAACCAACCAACCAAAAAAAAACCCCCAACTCTCAAATCCTCCCTCCCAACCCCCAATCATCACCCTAAAGTATAGCTTCCTTTGATAAAAAATTTCCTGCCAGTGAGTGAGAATTTATATATTTTGTGGACTTTGATAATACAGTGGAGAGTTTTTCTGGAAGCACCAAATTCTCCCATCTATATGCCTTCAGCAACGAGTAGGCGTGGGGAGTCCAGAGGGCCATGTACTTTCAACTGGGAGGAGTGCGGCCGGCAAAAACCTGGCGCATGTTCAGCCAGACGGGTGAAATGCAGACGTGTGTATCTGGCCACCCTTCCGCAGGGCTGGACTCGACCTCTGTAGTCTCTACTGATGGGAATATCCTTTCCAGGTGAGAGTCAGGAGTGAATTGTTAGAGCCTGTCTGTTTTCTGTTGAAGGTATTGAGTGAAAGCTGTTGCTGACAAATTGTGATTGTGAAACGTGCCTGAGAAGCAGATCCATCTGTGTGTGAGGAATAAAAACTCTTAAGTGGCGCTGGTAATCTCTTCTTTGGGAAATGTTGGTGCAAAATATCCCTGTATTCTAGCTGTAATTATGAAATGAATATTCAATGTATTCAGTTATTTTTCTGTAAGGAAACCAGATGTCGAGCTTGCACTGAATGCCACCAGTGAAACATCTCTTGTTTGGTTTGTTTTTAATCCCAGAAGAAGTTAGCTGTATACAACAAGATGCAGGAGCCTCTGGAAGTGACCCTTCCCAGCAAGCAAGAGGAGGATGAGAAAGACCAGCCTGCCGAGATGGAGTACCTTAACTCTCGCTGCGTCCTTTTCACTTACTTCCAGGGAGACATTGGTTCAGTAGTGGATGAACACTTCTCAAGAGCTTTGAGCCAAGCCAGTAGCTTCAATCCAGAAACTGCCCTTACCAAGACCAAGGCAGGGCTAAGTCCCTTGTGGAGAGGTAAGAGGAGCAGTAACTCTGTGGTGTGGCTTACTCGGTCTGTGTTGCAGTAACGCATATTGCATTGCAGCTGAAGTTTTGCTCCTCTGTGGAGGTGGAAAAATCCCCCTCAAATTTGAAAGACCCAAGGAGCTTCTTGGGGTTGAGTGATCTGAAGCATTAAAAGGGGGAAAGAGGTGCCGAAAGTGTGTAAGAAGCAGGCGTCTCCCTCTCTTTCCATAGCCCATGGCTCCACTGAGGCCTGGAAGGAATGGGGCAGAGCTCACGTGGCTTCACAAATGTCTGCTGCAAGGTTGGAGGCTTATTTTTAAGCTCCAAGTGTGAAACTTGGCCAGTGAGGCAAGAGAAAAGCTGTTTGGGATGCCAGCCTTGGATGTGAGGAGACCCATGCAGCCTTCTCAGGTGACTTTGCTGGGTGATTAAGATTTGTCTATGGCTCCTTTCCAGGTGGGGAGGAGCCAGCATAGGCTGGGATGGGCTTGAGTGCCAGCCCTGGTCCATGTGGTGTGGTGCATTGCAGCCTGCCCATGGGCAGAGCTGACGGGAGAGGTACAGCTGTTCTTGCCAGCTTCCGTGTGTCAAACGGGGGTGATGTTACTCTGCTTCCAAGCAGGGAGTAAAAACATAGTATGGACTGTGAGGCATTTATATACTGTCATAACACTTATGTCTTGTAATGCATATAAGCATGATCAGTGTAATAAAGAGCAGATCTTGCCAGATGTGCTAGGTAGACCTTATAGATAAGATTTCAAAATTGGTGATTGGAGAAAGCCTGCAGGTAAGACGCTATTTTGATTTTGTTGAGTGTGGCAGTCTGTGTAGTTTTTCAGATCCACAGCCGCGTTAGTTCTGATCATGTCCTTATGTGGACTGGCAAAGGAACACAAACCAAGTATTGTGGGCAATGGCCTTGCATTGAGTTTGGTGAGAGAGATACTGTGAGGATTCTTGTAGGAGTGGTGGTGTTCATAATCAGCGATGTTGAGGTGAGAGTGTATTGATGAAAGTCGTAGATAATAGAGAGAGATGGGATTTTTGGAAACCGCTGTGAAGAGAAAAATAGCACAGAAGGACTTGCTTTCCAGAAGGATGATGACAAATCTGAGGAAGTTTAAACAAAGGTCAGCACAAGTGGCTAGGGAGCTAGAGGAATTTATGGCTTGAGCCGGGACCATTAATGTTAACGGGAAATTTTCTGTTGACTCGAATGAGAGCAGGATTGAACCTATGCTTACTAAAAAGGAGGCTGGAGCATTTATAAATGGCCCAGACAGGCTATAAATGTTTTAGAGATGGGATCAAGGCAGTCCTCAAAGACCCCATGCCTACAGCAAGCCCTCCTCACTGAGCTTGGAGACATACTATGGATGGGGTTGTGTGTCTCCTCTTTGGCCTCAGATATACCCTGCTGTTTTTCCCTGGCTCCCCCCATGGTTGCACAGCCCTTCCCGGAGGGGTCTGCAGGGGAGAGGATGGCCTGGCATAAGGGTTCTTCAGCCATGCTGCCTCCTGACCCCACGTGTCCCGTGCCATCAGCGGGGAACAGAGGTCTGTGTGTCCTGAAAGTCTTCTGGGAATAAAGTAAGGGGATATGCTCTGTGCCGTCATTGCACCTGCTGAAGCGGTATGAAGATCCTCAGGGAGGCTGCTGGGCAGGGCTGCTTGGTTCTGAGAAAGCTAAGGGTATTTGCTTCTCCAGAGAAGAGAAGCTGACGAGAGTTTTATCAGGCTCAAATGAGTTTCTGAAACATGCCTACTTGAAAAAATTTGGGAAGGAACGACGTTAACACCTTGGTCTTCTGGTTCGTATACAGTTGTCAAAGATGCTCAATTACAGCCAATGGATGTGAATTTGTATCCCATTACCTAAAGATGTTAAAATATCATTAGCATGAAGATCTTTTATAAATAACCTTCATGGGTAGTCAGAATTTTTGTCAATAAATTACTCAAAGAGAAATTTTAAAAAAAAAAAAGAAAAGCTTTTGTATTTGCAATGGCTGTTTCGGAAGGTAAAGATTTAAATGAAAAGTGTGTGGGCATGAACTGGCTACTCAGCTCACTGTGTTATTTCTCCTTTACCTGAAAGGAGGGATTACTAATGTTTCTGCTTTTTTTTTTTCATCTTGTTGTGGGGTTTTTTTTTAGTGTCCTGATGGAAGAACAAACTGTAATTTCATTTGGTGATTTCATTTCAGGTGATATTGTGGGATTTTTTGTTTCGAGGAGGGATTTTGCTTATGTATAGAAAACAGAACCTGTTGTCCTGAAAAGAGCAAGTTTTCATCTTCTGTATGTTGAAAATACAGATCAGTTTAGGCCACAATTCACTTCAAAGCTGACTTTTATAAAACATAGTTGCTTATAACAGTCTCTGGTAACATGGACTTTGAATATTCAATTGTAGGTATAACTACCTTAAATTTTTTGAAGGAGCTAATGAAAGTAATGATACCTTGAAACTAATGTTACCTTAATGGTGTTTTTATCAACATGTTTTTCCTAGCTGAAAGTGTAGAGGGTTTTTTTCTTTCTTGGGTTTTGGTGGTGGTTTTTTTGTTGTTTGTGGTTTTTTTTCCCCTCCTACCTTAACTGAGAAGTAATGTTGTACTACAGAAAATTCCATACTTTGTCTTTACAGCATGTGCATTTTGGCATGTTTTCAGTGCGTGTTGGCCAGCCACCATGAACATTTACGTTAGTCACCACTTCGTGGTATCTGAGATGTTGCCATCTCCCTGCCTCCCTGTACTTAGAACAGGAAATTGTGGTAACTGCACTGTCTTTCTTGGCAGACAATTTTTGTTAAATGCCTCCTTCCCCCCTCCTGAAAGCCCATGGCACCTACTGAGGTTTTTTTTTGTTGTTGTTTTTTTGTTGGTTTTTTTTGTTTGTCTTTTGGTTTTTTTCTTTCTCAAACACAGTGCCGAAATAGCTGTTTCCCCATTGCCATGTCCCACAGAGGCCAGGTATCTGACATGATGGTATTTGTAAAGATAATTGGTTGTGCTTCTATTTTAAAGGTGGGAAGGAAAGGAAACCCTTCAAATACTATGGAAATGTGTAGTGGTCAGGGGTTGTGGTTCAACACAGAGATGGTTCTTGTTGATGGGGTTGCTGCACACTTAGTGCTTAGTAGCATCCTCTGTGAGCACTCAGGGTGGACGAAGTTTTCTTGCATGTTTATGTAACCTGGATGGACCCTGTATCTCCAGTGACATGACTTGACCTTGACTGGCGAGGTTGGCCTCTGCAGTTACGCTCTGTGATGTCTCTGGGGGGGCTGGTCCATGACAGTTTCTGACAGTGGTAATGGGTTTGTGAAATGTGGACAGGTTTGAAAAATGGAGATGACCAAACATGTTTTCTGTGGCCTAGACCTTCTACGTGATTGGTAAACCCAAGCTGTTATGCAATCTGGGACGAATTCATATTGGCAAATCCAGTGGTTTAAAGTGCTCTCTCCTGATATTAAAGTTGCCCTGCAGATACTTTGTGGTTTTCTGTGCTTTTTTGAAGTGAGATGGTTTGGATTTAGGACTTTTCCATGCAGATAACAGCCAGATAGTTTCCAAAAGCTCTCAATTACAGAGGTTAATTTTCCAGAATACTGGCAATGCACTGTCAAGCTGTGCTCCTCCGTTAAGCAGTGAGGAAAACAACAGACTGGACATGAAGAAGCTTGGTTTTGCTTTTTTTTGTCAACCCTGCTGCCAACACTGTAAGCCATGTGCACTCTCCATCTCAGCCTAATCCCTTGTAACAAGGAACAATTTATAAACAAGGAACAATACCAATTTTGGAGGGATGCTGAGGCTTCTGTAATATGCTTGAAGCTGTCTCCAGTCTTCTAGCATGAATTACAATAGAAATACATGGCTAAAAAGAAGCAACCTTTTGAAGAAAGCCATGTTGGAGTACAGTTTGCTCGATAAGCTTGCAGCTTCTGAAGCATTTTGGCCCAAAGAGGAGTTCTCTACGTGGATTTTAATGGATTTTAAAACAGATACCTGAGTATCCTAGTGATGCAGTCAGAAAATGCTTTCACAGTTTTTGTTTCCAAAATATTTTTGTGTAAGCAAAGTTCAGAGGCAGGAGCGTTCTGAAGATTCTGTTCATTCTCAATGGTGTCTTCACGCAAATCTCATTCCAGTTGCTTATTAAACAAAGCAAAACAAAAGGTCATTTTTTAAAAAAAAAAAAAAAAGTTTTTGTAAATGTTATATGAGGAACAGAGGATTCCTCGCCTCATCAAATATTAAACTTCCCTGGCTTTATTTCTCTGTAGGCTCTTTTTATGGCTGTTCTTTCATCAGAGGTGAAGTTCTGTATTTTTATGTTTCCATCTCTGACCAAAAAAACCCTATTTGAGCTGAGACATATTGCATGAAGCAGTACTTGCAAACATGAGCTGGCAAGAGGATTGTGAGAGTGGAGATGCCAATACTTTCCTACACATCAAAAACACTAACCGCTCCTTCAAAAGAGGAATTTTTAGGATGTGATTTCATAATGTAGAGGTATTGGAATCCATTTAAATATAAGTTGAGCCCTAGCTGTAAGAAACAGCGAGTCTTTTATTTCTGACAAAAACTTTTTTCAGTTAACATAGATGTTTCTGCTTGTCTGATCCTGTTGGGTACAAGGCAACATGATATATTCTATGAGGGACTAATGTAGATATGCTCTTTATCCCCTCAAAGCCTGCAGTTAGTTTGAGAAGATCTGGTACTCTTCCTTTAGCCAAATGTCTCCTATTCTGCAGCATGCCCTGATTCTCTGTCCTCAGAAGCATTTGCAGCCACAGCAGCTGCCTTTCTAAATGATGTGTTCTGGTCTGGTCAGGAGTTAGCCTCTCCTCATAATTCCTGTACCAAGATCCTGAGAGAGCTGCAACTCTTCAGCCTGAAGAAGAAAAGTCTTCTCAGGGAGGATCTTATCAATATGTGTAAATACCTGATGGGAGGGAATGAATATGAGGGAGCCAGGCTCTCCCCAGCAATGCTTGCTGACAGGACAAGAGGCAATAGGCTCAAAATCAAAAATAGAAAGTTCTATCTGAAGACAAGAAAATACTTCTTTTTCTTTCCTTTTTTCTTGGTGTGGTTTTTTTTGTTTTTTCTGGGGGGGGGGGTTTGGGGTTTTTTTTTTGTTGTTTTTTTTTTTTTAATTGTTGAAGGCTAAACTCTGGAACAGGTTGCCCAGAGATGTTGTGTAATTTGGATCTCAGTCAAAATCTGACTGGACAGAGTTCTGGACGACCTGCTCCAGGTGACCTCACTTGAGCAGGGGGGTTCAACTGGATGATCTCAAGAGGTCCTCTCCTACCTCAACTGTCCTGTGATTCCATAGTTACCGAGGAAGCTTTAGTTCAGTGTTACAGATTTCAGAGAGTAGAAAATCATTGTGGGTTTTTGTCATTAAATTTGTTGTTCAGCTTCAGTCATACTTCATTTCTTTCCTCTCTACCAGAAAGCTCAACAATTTCAAGCCAAAGGAGCAGTTTCCCAGCTTCATTTTGGACCAGCTCTTATCAGCCTCCCCCTCCACCATGCTTAAGTGGAGTACACCCCGATTTCCCTGTTACTGCACCAGGCACCTTCCCAACACCAGATCCTAGCAGCTGGCCAGGACACGGCCTTCATCAGACTGCCCCACCTCCTCCCCCTGCTGCATCTGAATCCTGGCATTATCCTTTAGCATCTCAGGTGAGCCCTTCATATGCACACATGCATGACGTGTACATGCATCGCCATCACCCTCATCCACACATGCACCATCACCATCCCAGCTCACACCACGACCCCCGGTACGGGTCCCTGCTGATGCCTTCAGTCCGTGCAGCCAGGATTCCTGCTCCCCAGTGTGACGTGACAAAGACAGATCCCGCTGCTGTCACCAGCGCTACCTCAGCATGGGCTGGAGCCTTTCATGGAACGGTGGACATTGTGCCAAGTTTTGGGTTTGACACAGGTAAGATGGTTCGATTGTGTCTGTGACTTGTTTTAGCAGGAGGAATTTGAGCAAAGAAGTGAACTCTCTGCAGCTGAAGTGGGGCTTGTTCTCAGAGACTTCTCCAAATGTGTTTCCAGGTGGGAATCCCTCCTGAAATTGCTGTCAGGCCAGAGGAGCTGTGAAACATCCAGCTCTCACTGCCTTTTGCTGAGAGATCTTTGTCTGCCTTGGTCCCTTTCAAGCCAAATGAGTTGTGACATGATAAGCATTTTTTTGGTTTAAATCTTGTGGGAAATGGTTAATTAAACTTCCATGTGGAAGCTTCCAGCTTGTTCAGCTAGTTCGTATGTGCATTCACCAAAATATAGCTCCAGTGAGGACTGAACTAATAACTTGTCAGTACATGAGGATTGCGTCTTACTCCTCTAAATAGATCAGCATTTCCTTCGTGTGTAGTATCCAGGTGTCACATAGAGAGTAAAGATGCTGGTTGGGCTGTGCTTGCCATCAAACTAAACTTCTTTCTGTAGGGTCTAGGCAGAGCTCTGTGAATTAGTTTAATTTTACTGCAGGGCCTGTAGCCGTAGGACAGCCTCCATGAACTGCCTCTGTATCTGTGAGCTTTGACTGGCAGGCTCTCATCTCAGTATTAGGAGCATCCTTGCAGCCCTCACTGTTCATAGTTGCTTGCGATCAGGTGATGGGTGACAAACAGTTCCCAGCGCATCCATCCTGGAGCTCATATGGACTATTGAGGTCTCCTTTTTCTGCCTGGGATTTATCTGACTAGCAGCAATCCTTGCAGATTAGTACTTCTTAAACACGTTATGTTATTTATTAAGGAAATACTAGGTTTGCATCTCTGTTCTCTTTTCCTTAAACTATCTGCTTATCTCTCTTCTTGATAGTTCTAGCTAACTGATTCAATGTGTGAGAAGCACTTCCTTGCTTTGTTTACTCTGCAGGGGAACAAAGAATTGATGGAGGAAAAAAAAGGCAGTTCCTTAAATACGAAATACTATGAACCCAAAACCCAATTATAACTAAGCTAACCTAATACAAATCTCTCTCTCTTCCCTTAATAGCAACTGGGAAGCAATAATCTCTTCTAAATACCATGCCACTTGCTGCCTCAAGAAGTTAAGAAAAAGCATAATAAGATTCTTAACACTGGACAAATTTGTATCTATTAATAACATTTCCAGGCATGCCAATGATACAAGAGGAATTACATTTTATGCTTTTGTGTATAAAATGATAATCTGACAAGACTGGGATCTCCAGTTTTGCCCTTCTGACAAATTCTGTAATGGGAGTGATCTGCCTTCTCTGAAGTGTGAGCAAATTGTCATTGCCACAGGTAGAGGGGACGAGCCCCCTGGTCTGACAGTAGCCCCAGCAGGCCAGCTCCACTGCTCTGATATTTGATTTACCTTTGGGGGATGGAGCCGAGAACTGTAATAAGGGGCTGTTAGGAGAAACCACTACCTGGCTTAGGTGTAAGTCCAGTCTAGACTGTGAGTTGTTTCAGTGCTGGGCAAGTTGGTTTGCTTACTGCTACTTTGGTGGTAGTAGTAGGTCTAATAAACCAGGTGCTTTTTCTCTTTTCTGTAAGAGCATAGTACCTCAAAAAGGACTAAAGGTCCTAGCACTACCTTACAGGATTAATATAGCCTTTGCTTGGTGCTGCCTGCTCCTTGTGAAAATCCCTATGGAGGGGTACAGTTGGATGCTAATTTTGTCAGGATCCTGATTTGGCAGCACTTAACAGTGGCTTGCACGTCTTGTAGTTGTCTACTCAGCGTTGGAGGCAGTGGAAGAGGCCTGAACTGTTAATTTCTGGCCCTTGCCTGATGTGTGGGTTTGAGTCCATGAGTTTGTGCTCAGGACATGTGTGACTGGTTTGCAGGAACAGAGAATCTCAGCAGACCGATGTCTCACTTGTTTGTGACTATTCAAAATGGCTATGCACTGGAACACAACAGCAAAACCTTATCAGGCAGCCCCAGTTTGACATGTAAGGCTTTGGAAACAAGGGAGGAAGCAACAAAACACAGCAGGTAGTGGTAGCCTGTGACTACAATTATTTGCTCTCTTACCCTGCACACTCATCTCTCTTGTGCTCTCCAAGCAGAGGCTTGCTGGGAAGGGCACGAAGGCTCTGAGCTCCCTTTTCAGCCTTGCCTGCAGCTTGTACATTCAGACAAACTCTTCAGGGACAGGCATTCGAGGTGTGATCATGGTGAAAAAAGGGAACTTAATTGCCCCAGTGTTTTGTGTGCATGTCAAATACTGTCATCCCATGGAAGATGTGTTGTGCTGCTGGGGAGAGGAGGGGGCTGCTGAAGCACCACACTGAGTCGCATCCAGCACAGATGAAGCTTTTCTTGCTCCATGTCCACTCCAGGGGAGGATTGTATTGGATAAGTCTCCACATGACACAGAATTTTATTATATTTAACTCTAATGTGAGACAGCAATCTCAACAGAGAGGCTAAAAACTAAAGGGCCTAGGAGGATGTACTGGCTTTCTGTGATGCAGAAGCAGTTTCTCCAGAGTAGGGTAAGGCCATAGTGGCCAGAAAACTTCAGTTCTGAAAGTCTTTGCTCATATATCCCTAGAGAATAAAAGACATCAACCTGTGGAGCTGTCAATATATCAGATTCCATGAGCTTCAGATGATTTATATAAAAAGCTCATTTGGTATATACTTAGACATTGCTTTTCAAAGCCCTTCAGATACAATAAATGATTCCCCCCTCCCGCCCCGCCCCTTTCTGTGGGTCACATTTCTTGTGCTACTGTCACATGCGATTATAGAAGCATTTGCAAAATTCCTCACACTGAATTATATGGAATGATAATGTTGGGATCAGGGCGGGCTGGCTGTAATCTTACCCTTTCCCAGCCATGTTGTTGCATCCCTGCCATACTAAGCCAAATATTCGATCTCATGAATGGATGATGCTGAATCACTTCAAAGGTTAAGAGGGGGTTCACCTTGCATGCATGGTATAGTTTGGGAATTTGTGTTTCAGAACAGACTGTGTGGGACATCAGCGTATCACCGTTCATAGAGCTAACAAAGTATTGATCTGTCTTGCACATCTGTTTGAACTTACATGGTCCTATTACAGGGGATGAAAAGGGATTTAGCTACCTGATTCCCATTAAATGTGGCTTAATCCTCACATTGTGTGCTGCAAATTAACCCTTTTAGAAGCTTCTTTATTGGTACAAGTGGGATTAAAGAAAATGCTAGTCTACATCAAAATCTATTAAAGCCTGTTACGTTTGTGGCTGCTGGTATGCAGTGTCTTTCCAAAGCTGAAGTGCCCAAGCTATAATGCTCAATGTAAAAGTGTGTTTTATATCAAGCATTGATATAAACACATTGATCCAAGCACAACATGTTTGTGCTTTAGGCCACGATTCCCTGCCCTGCTGATGTCAAGCAAAGCAAGGCCAGCCTCTAACAGCATTGACTGCGATTCATGGCATACGTACAGAGAGCATGGCTACAGCCATAATCCCACAGTGCTGGGGCTAAATCCTCATGTTTATGTTAAGGGTGCACAAGCCGAGTTGAGCTCTTAAGACCAGGAGGGTGGGAAATTGCTGTCTTGCAGTGGAGCTGATGGTTACGGCCATCAGTGTTTTCCTCAGGAGCAGGGCAGGAAGCTGCCCTGCACACCCGGCCCTTCAGGTGATCGGTCGAATCCGGCTGTGCTGGCAGCTGCCAGGTCTGCGGGCAGCACCGTGGGGAGGAGAGCAGAGCCACTCGCCCTGCTACTGCAGAGCCTAGGAGGGTATTCTGTCCTGCTGTTGGACAGATGTGCTGGAGGAGGCTTCCTGTAGCCCCAGCACACTAAAAGCAGAGCAGGATTTTGGCGTATCTGAGGGCCGTAAGTCTATCTTAAAATTGAGGTGCACATCCTTTATCATGCAAAGTTATGTACATTGAGATGCATAACTTTAAATTTAGGTGAATTAACCGACATCCTCTAGTCCTGGCTAACTATGGAAAGTCCATTTTTGGAAATGCCTGTATGTCAGTGTGCCACGTTGAATACGGAATTTGAGTGGTCAGTCTGCTGCCTTCTGTAGAGTTCTGTCTGTTCACACACGCCCCATGAGTTTGTCACAACTCGTTAAGTTTGTTTAGATGTTCCCACAGAGCCTGCATTCTGCTTGTGTGGCAATTAGCTATAACGTTGGTATCCCAGAGAGGGGGAGTTGTGCTGGTGTGGCGATACTGACTCACGCAATGCAAGTGAGGATGTCCTTGCTAAGAGGAAAATTTGCTTGCAGCAGGCTGCAAGTGAGAGCTTTCGGTCGGTAGCAGGGTTGCACTTGGATGATGTATTAGAACTGCAGATAGCCTTGCGATGAAGGAGTTGGGAATATAATGAGGAAAAGGCATGGAAGGTGTTCCACATTCAGTTCTGTAACTAAGGCAACTTTGATTTTTGGATTGTTTTCCATGGCTGTTTAGACTTAATATTTCTGTTTGTTGCAAAGACACCTAACTAGGGAGGTGTCTGTTCAGCTTGTTATTCCCCTTCTACCAGTTGCTACTACCAGGTGGACATCCCCTTAAACAGGTGTCTGTGTCATTTTTTTTAAGCTGCCAGGAGCCATAGGACCTGTTTCTCTTCTCATCAACTTCCATTGCCTCTGGCCTTTAGTGCTCCACTGGTGAACTTAAATGGCTTCCTTACACTCTGAAAGGTTTCTGCTGTCTAACTTTTCTTTCTTTCTTTTCTTTCTTTTCT